GAAAGAACCCCCGGACGAAATAATGCCTCAAAGAACCCACCCCAGAATCCCCCGCCAGCCCCAGTCCAGCAACCAAGGACCGACCTGAATAACCCGCCAGTGCAGATACTGCACCAGACCCGGAACGTGAACCTGTGTATCCTTGATGACACTGGTTATCAACAGGAAGGAAAAGATGCATTCGTGTTGCCTCTCTCCCGCCACCAACTATATACGACACAACGACCCCGATGAAATGTAAAGAAGTCAGAAAGTCAGACAGAAGAAAGGTTGAGAATCAACCCGCCGTTAGTAAGTGCTCCTGTAGTACCCTCGATAAACATGACGCCTAAACCCGCCACACCCCAAGCCCCAGAAGCTCCCCCACCACAAACCCAACATAGAAGAGGACCTTCGATCGTTGAGCAGTTGGAACCATATAACGTGGCCCAAGACCTTTTGGAAATGAGATCCAATGCCACTATTGGTTAGCTCTTACAGTACCCGAACCAGCATCGTAACTTGGCCCAAGTACTGAAGAGACTACCTATAGTCGAACCCGCTCAACCCCTCGACATGGAAACGAACGTTGTACAGCCCCTGAATAATGAGCATACCACTGCCGCCCGCTGCCACATACGAGTAAAGAATAACCCGATCGTTGCCGTACTTGACTCCGGTGCCACCGTGAGTTTGATGTCGAAAAGGATGATGGAAAAATTGAAGCTGAAAATCGACGAACCATCCCCCACCGTCGTGGTAACAGCGAATAGAACCCGGGAGCGAGCCCTAGGAAGGATTAATGACCTTAAAATCGCTATTCGAGATATGTTAATCCCCACGACATTTCAAATAATAGAATCCACTGATGATTTGTTGCTGTTGGGAATGGATTGGTTTGTGAAAGCCCAGGCCCAGTTACATTTCGCAGAAAAAAGGTTGTATCTAACGTACAATGGTAAAACCAGTGAAGTCCTGATCTCCACCGATGAAGGACCCCCGAAGGAACCTGCCGCCGAACACCCAGAAGCGAAAATACGTTTGATGAGTTTGACTACGACGACGAAGAGCTAGATGAAGCAGACGGATATTTTACCAAAGAGACCCCAATGATGAGCTTTTTGGAAACCCGTGGGTTGACTACGGTAACCCTGCTGTTTGTTTGGCGAACGTAGAAGAACTACCAACCCAGGACCCCAATCCCGATGATGAACCCTCCGTGGAAGAAAAGCTGGAAGAAAGTGTGAACAGCGCCCCTTTAGAACCAGAAGAAAAAGCTCGTGCATGTGCGATGCTACTGGCCAGGAGGAATACCTTTGCTTGTAATATGACTGATCTTGGAAAAACGAACGTCGTGAAATATGAAATCAATACCGGTATTGCCCCTCCTATAAAGCAGACGCCATATCATGCCGCCCCTAGTATACATGCCTTTATAAAAAAGGAAGTGGCACAATTAAAGGAAAAAGGGTTGATTCGCGATTCAAAGAGTCCGTGGGCGTCCCCGTGGTGGTCGTCCCCAAAAAGAATGGTAAGCTGAGAATGTGCGTCGACTATCGCCAGGTTAACACAGTAACCAAGAAAGATGCGTTCCCCCTCCCCCATATCGATGACCCACTGGAGGTGTTTGGGTGTGCTGCTTGGTTTTCGACATTGGACCTGCTGTCGGGGTATTGGCAAGTTCAAATAAGCGAAAAGGACAGAGAAAAGATTGCGTTTGCGGTCTCGTTCTGCACTTACGAGTTCGTCGTGATGCCATTTGGTCTCTGTAATACTCCCGCCACCTTTCAATGGATGATGAACTACGTCCTTGCCGAGCATATCGAACGTTTCGTCGTGGTATACCTCGACGACATCATTATTTACTCTGCCTCCTTTGATGAACACTTGAACCACATTGCCGCCGTTTTCGAAAAACTGAAGGCTGTAGGTTTAAAGTTGAATCTGGATAAATGTGCCTTTTTTAAGCCCCACCTGCAGTTTCTGGGACATATCGTTGGCCGTGATGGAGTTCGCCCCGACGATGAAAAAGTAGAGAAGGTCTGGAAGTTCCACGCTCCAAAGAACCTGCGCCAACTTCGTGGGTTTATAGGACTGGCTTCCTACTATCGGAAGTTTGTCCCAAACTTTGCTTCGATTGCGCGCCCCCTGCACCATCTGTTGAAGAAGGATGTCAGGTATGAATGGACCCATCAACAGGAAGATGCCTTCAACCAACTAAAGCATCGACTTACAGAGTCCCCGGTGCTCCATTACCCGAATTTCGACAAAACATTTATCATTCATGCCGATGCGTCTGGAATAGGTCTGGGTGCCGTGTTGGCCCAGAAAGACGATCTGGGAAAAGAGTACGTTGTAGTGTACGCAAGTCGGGCTCTAACAATACCCGAAACGAATTATAGTACCACTGAACTCGAATGTTTGGCAGTTCTGTGGGCTATTGAATATATAGTTACATTCATTATTTACTATATAAAATTAAAGATTTAACTCGGTGAGTGATCTCATGTTACACATAAAA